TTTGTTTGTTTGACAGATTCTCCGTGCATAGAAATCTAGTTTAGAAGTGGTTTTAAATCAAATGCAAATCAAAATGAGTTGTTCTTGTTTTACTAACCCCTCAAAAACATTCTTGATGCTTTTTCTGTTCGAAAACCACTTCAGAATCTCATTTCAATTTCCCACGGGGCCAGTGACTCAGACGTACAGTCTAGAGCACTCACAGTCTTTCCACAGACACAAACGCTGAGGGTAAAATATTGATCTTATTATACAAAATGCCATTTACAAACATAATCATATTAGATTCATCCTTACGACTGGCCTAATCAGGAACATGGAAATCGCACTGTAAAATGTGTACAAATATACCAGTTGGTCAAAGTCGTGGCTCTTTTAGTCCAGTAGAAATTCATGTTCCGTTTACTGTTTACACAGTTTCCAGGTTAAAGTCAAACATCATTTAAGCCTGATTTACTCTATCAACAAACAACCAATACTACATTTACGACATAATTACATTTACCTCCTATATATTAAGGTTGAGCTTGTTATTACATAACCAGTTAGTGCACTTAGTAGTTTTGACTGTGCATTTGTAATGTACTTAAAATCTTAAAAGTATATATATATATATATCTCATTACCTGTCTGCCCCTCGTTATATGCCCTATTTGAGTTCGAGCCCGTTCTGTTCTCCGTTGTCTGGAATTGTTCATGTCAACCTTGCTACGTGTGTTTTTCTGTTTCCTTTTGATTATGACAATTAGTAAAATTTTCCTACGTCTCCTCGCTCCTTTGCTCCGCGCTTCTACACAGCAGCAGTTCCGTGACAGAATTCCAGACCGACAGAAAGTGAGCAGTGCCTTTCCTCCCTGTGTTTATATTGTTTTCCCTGGCGGCAATGGAAACCGCCGCACGATTTTCGGCCCTAGCCCGCAGAGATCTCCCATTTGTGGAGTATGCACGGGAGTTCTGCGGGCTCGCCCTCCAGAGCCGGCTCCTCGAAAGTGCCTTCCAGAGCGGCCTCCAGTGCCCGCTCCTCCAGAGCGCCCCCCAGGATTCCTAGTTTTCCCCAAGAAAATGTTTTGGGGGGGCCATATACCCATGGCCGAGCCAGCTAAGGCCACGGAGGATCAGTCATGGCCTCCTGAGCTGCCAGCTCCACCATGGCAACCTGAACTGCCTGCTCCGCCATGGCCCCCTGAGTCTCCTGATCCGCCATGGCAACCTGAACTCCCTGATCCGCCATGGCTTCCCGAACTGTCTGCTCCGCCATGGCCCCCTCCTCCCCGATGGTACTGTTACAGAGCAGGATGCGCCTCCCGGGAGGGGGGTGATATCTGTCACGTGTGTGTTCCTGTTTAGATAGTGTTTGTCCTTATTTGGTCCTTCCAGTTCCTTTTCCCATTATTAGTAATCACCTGTTCCTTGTTATTAGCTATCCTCATCACCTGTCTGCCCCACGTTATCTGCCCTATTTGAGTTCGAGCCCATTCTGTTCTCCCTTGTCTGGAATTGTTCATGTCAACCTTGCTACGTGTGTTTTTCTGTTTCCTTTTGATTAGTAAAATTATCCTACGTCTCCTTGCTCCGCGCTCCTACACAGCAGCAGTTCCGTGACAGATATATATATATATATACAAACACACTGTTTCCTAATACTAAATACTACTATTATTTATATAAAATAATATTTATTGAATCATATTTAAGAAACAACAGCCATCATAAATGTTGCTAGGCAATTCAGTCAAAAGTACAAAGACAGCGCTCTGATATACAGCATTGAAGTTACATAAACATGGTGAGATTTTGCCAAAACTATTTGTTCTGGAACAAATAATAGATTAATGAGACTAAAGACTGCCCATTAGCTTTACCCAAAACGAAATCTATCTCATGTTTAACCACTATAGAGACATCAAAGCCAGCAGTAAATTCCAGAAGATCTGGCTGAGGTGAGGTGCTCTCGGTGGGTTTATGAGTGCTGATTGGCCGCTGACGTCCTGGAGCTCACATCTCCGAAAATGTCGAAGCAAATTTTCAAATAGAATTTTATCTTTATTAATAAACCGCATATTGTCCAAACAAGTAGGCTACATTCTCGCCTAAAAAGCTCTTAAAACTACATTCCGTGACACAAAAATCATATTATTCTTAAATTATAGTGGATTTAAACATCCGCCATGACACTCGCTGTGAGAAATACGGCAAGCGGAGTGACACGTGATACAAATGGTGAAGCGGTTGGAGTAGCTCTGTTATCACTCTAATACCGTACTCTTATCAGCCAGTCAGATTTGAGGACAAGAAAGAATATTAAAAACAACAACAACTGTAGACCACTTAAGTTTAGACACTTTCATGACTGTTTCTAAACACAATTAAAGGGGTCATATGATGCGATTTAAATGTTTCCTTTCTCTTTGGAGTGTTACAAGCTCTTGGTGCATAAAGAATATCTGTAAAGTTGCAAAGACTAAAGTCTCAAATCCAAAGAGATATTCTTTATAAAAGTTAAGAGTCAACCACACTTACCAAAAATGGCTCGTTCTAACACGCCCCCACATGTCTACGTCACAATGTGGGAAGATTTGCATAACGCCGCCCAAATGTTCACGCAAAGAAAAAAGGCGTAACTTTTATTCTCGCTGTTGCCGCTGCTGCCATGTTGTGGAGTCACTGTGTGTTTCCTTGTGAAAGAGAAACTACTTTGTCTGGCCTTCCAAAAGAGGACACGACTAGAAATCAGTGGTTAAGTTGTATTTACAACACTGTTCCAGAACAGTTCAACCCACTGCACTGGATAGCTGGCCAATCACAGCACACCTCGCTATTTCAGAACGATGAGCTTTGTAAAAATCGACGTGTTTCAGAAAGGCGGGGCATAGAGGAGCAACAATAATGTACATTATATGGAAAATAATGTGTTTTTTGAACCTTAAACCGCACAAACACATTGCATTACACCAAATACACAACATAATGTTATTTTTAGCAACGTCATATAACACTTTTAAGTGCAATTTGCAATAATGTTTACAAAAATTTAAATTATTAAATATTTTAATAAACTTTTGTCTTCCTTTAAAGTAGACTTATTACACATATTGATGTGTTGACTAGCATACTAAAGTACACGTTAATAACTGTAGTGTGTTATTTGATATTACATTTAAAGATAATATATTTTAAATATACAAAAATGCAGGGTAACACTTTATTTGAAAGGCTTTTAAGGTGGCCTTGTTACACATGCATACTTACTTATTATAATAACAATAAATTATGCATAATTACATGCAATTAACCCTAAGCCAAACCCTAATCCTAGCCCTAACCATTTAGTAAGTACATGTAGTTAATTATTATTACTCAGTACATAAATGTATAATTACACTGTAACAAGGACACATTGAAATAAAGTGTAACCACATGCAGCTATATCCTTACAAATGTGCAATTACAAATATATTTAAATACATGGCATACAAGTTTTAATAAAAATTACATTAAAATATATCTTAGTTTACCATGAATACTTGTAAATATTGCCACAGCTACGGTGAGATACAGGCACGAAGAAGGCGAAAATAGATGCAAATAGTCTTTAATATTCCACAATAGGGCAAACACAGGATGGTCAGGCAGGATGAACAGGATGAAGTAGACCGGACGACAAACAGAAAACAGAACACAACTAATATAGTGGAGCAAATTAGGATAATTAACCAGACATACCTGAACTAAATGGCACAATCAAACATGAGAGAAAACTGGGTCACAGAACACATGAGGAATAAAAACACAACAAAAGTCCAAAGGGGTGTGACAGTTCGCCCCCCTCCCGGAAGGCGTGACCTCGCTCCGCAGGAACAACAAATGGAGGGACGGAGGGGGACTTAGGAGGAGGACAAAGGGGTGGATGCCGACAACTCAGAGAACTAAAGGAAGGGAATTTATACAAAAGGAAGAGGAGCTAATGACGAGGACAGGAATGACCAAATATGGGCACATGAGGGAGAAAACACAACCAAACGTCCAATACTGTGACAGTTCGCCCCCCCTCCCGGAAGGCGCGACCTCGCACCGCAGAGACAAAGGGAGGGACGGAGGGGGACTTAGGAGGAGAACAAAGGAGTGGATGTGGGATGGTGACAGGGGATGGCAAAGGGCTGGCAGGAAGGCAGGCAGACAAATACTGGAGGAGGATTGGGCGGAGGGCGGACACTCGGGAGGAGGATGACAAACAGAGTACAGGGTGGAGACGACAGAGGGAGGAGCCAGGGAGGAAACAGGAGGAGCCAGGGCAGATCAGACGGAGGGAGGAGCCATTTTGGAGGCAGAAGGGACCAGGGTGGATCAGATGGAGGGAGGAGACAGGAGGGAGCAGGAGGAACCAGGCAGGACCCAGGCTGGAGCCGATGGAGGGAGGAGCCATGGTGGAGGAAGGGCCAATGGCTCCAGGGGGCCGACCGACGGCGGCGGAGCAGGTAGTAGAGCCCGAGGCGGAGACGGAGAGCCGAAGAGCCAGGGTGACGCTGAGGATCTGGAGGGCCAAGGTGGAGCAGATGACTTCGGCGACCGAGACGGAGGCGGGGATCCGGAAGGCCGCGGTGGAGCCGGAGCGACAGAGGACCAAGGTGGAGCCAGAGGGAAGGAGGAGCCTGATAGAACCAGAGGGACGGAGGGACGAGGCGCAGCCGGAGGAGTGGAGTCCTGAGGCGGCGGATGGTCGATGACAGACCAAGGTGGAGCTGGAGGGATGAGGGAGCCTGGCGGAGCTGGTGGACTGACGGGCTACTGCGGAGAGGAGGGACCTAGGAGCCATGGTGGAGCCGCTGGGTCGAAGGGCCGAGGCGGAGTCCAGGACTCAGAGGCTGGAGGCGGAGACAAGGGATCCTTCAGCCATGACGCCGATGAAGACTGGCAGACCTGCGGCAATAAAAACGCAACAAAATTCCAAAGGGGTGTGATAATTATATTCGATATTGCACATTTTAAATAAGTAATTATAGTAAGCAATTAAATGCAGTATTTCAAAGAAGTAATTATGAAATTACATATAAGGTGTACTTAAGTTCTACTTAAGTTGTGAAATATCGCTATAGTTCAACTAACTGCATTTATTATAAATGCAAACTATAATATAAAAAAACATAAAACTATAATTTCATTTAATTGCATTTAACATGCAGTTAGGTGTCTGAAAACATTACATTCAGTTCACACTTAAGTATATGCTTTGAAAGTATATTATTTCCATTATAACACCTCTTTTTAAAACTATGCTTAAATTTACAGTACTTTTTCAATAGATGGATTTCAATAATTCATAACAATTGTCTCTGACGTCACAAACCCCTTCAAGACTCTGGACTACCAGAAAATCATAATTTGAGCCTTGCTGGACCTCCTTTAGTTCAATGCATACTGAGCAAAAAGGACCGTCGTGGCTGAAGTAGTCAATATGAGACAGTAATACATATTAGTGAGAAACTCCGCTGTAAGGACTGCTGCTCCTCAGGGATGTGTGCAGAGTCTGACTGCACTTCCAAAGACGATATTACAGTCATCTTCCTCATTTATGACACTGACGGATTTGTAAACAGAAGGAAGGAGGAACAGCTGGCTGTCTGGTGCAATCATAACAACCCGGAGCTGAACACGCTCGAAAGCAGCGGAGATCTGAGCAGCGCCGAACTGAACTGGGACACACACATGCTGTATAGACTCTATTGTGGAAAAGTCACCTCTGAGCAGCAGGAGATCCAGGAGCAGTTCCCCCTCAGGCCGTCTACCTCATGAACAATTAAAACCACCTCACAGCTCTACCCATAGTGCACTTACTTCCATTGTGAACACAACCAAAAAAGGTGCAAAATGTAAATTTGACTCGCATTCATTCAGCTACCCTAAGACACTCTTATCTCGATTGCACATTAACTTACCTAGTGAGAAAGAAGTACACTTTAGCATACTTCTAAAAAATAGTTATTGTTATGGAAATACTATACTTTAAAAATATACTTAAGTGTGAACTGAATGTAATGTTTTGGACACTTAATTGCATGGTAATTGCTTTTCTTTTTTTAACTCAATAGTGGGACTTCAGTGCATCTTCATATTTAATTTCATGATTACTTCTATGATGTCTGCTACTACTTTAATGTCATTTCTATTAAAACTTGTATGTCATGTATTTAAGTATATTTGTAATTTCTTATTTATAATGAAGTTGCAATTTTGTACATTTAAATTGAAATAGCACAGTGCAGATTAAATGATACTTTTTTAATTATAGAAGTATTTTACATGTGCTTTAGCATGTCAATCAACACATCAAAATAGGTGCATAAAATAAGTGTATAAGTGCTTAAGCACAACAAAAATATTATTAAAACGATAATTTAAAAGGTACTCTAATGTATTCTTAAATCTGGTGATGGATGGATGGATGGATGGATGGATGGATAGATAGATAGAAATTAGATTTTATTTACACTATAGACGGTTTCATCGGACACACGCACATGACCCAAAGTTAACTTCCAGTCTATGCTTGTTTATCGGTCTGGCTAGTGGCTAGTAATGGTGCTGACTACAAATGCAGTTAAAGCTAAAAGCAAGACATAAGGTGCGTTCCACTTGAAGCAGCACTGCACAGACCGATCGGTGTGTGACATCAAAGTGCCGTTAGACCGAAAGCATGGCTCTCATGATACTTTGATGTCACACACCAACCGGTCTGCGCAGCGCTGCTTCAAGTTGAACACACCTTTTGTTTTAACTTGCTAGTAATTTACTTATTTATTTTGCTTGTCATCGCAAATAATCTACTCTAGAGATACTCTGTTGTTGTTGATTTTTTTTGCTGAAGTCTACAGGAAGTTAAGTTTGGGCTAAACACTTGAAACCATCTATATTTGAAATGCACATTCAGTAAAATTAAGCACACTTCTTTTTCACAAGTGTCCTTGCATTATGCAGCATGTCCTATTGAGCGTTTTATACTTCATTTCTGCTACAGTTTTGTTATTTTGTGTGTCACTGTGTGTCACTGCATTCTAGTGTGCTCTAGTGTATCTGTAAAACAAATTATTTGTGTGTGTGCACACAAGGCAATAAAACAGATAGCTGCAAAAACAGCTCCACAAAATAATAATAATAATAATAATGCATTAAAAATATGACAAAACATGGGCACACATCACTTCAATTATACATTAATGCAATAATTTGACATTGCTTGGCAACCATAAACAAGTTTAATCAACAATGTCTACATGAGGCACGAAACATTAAAATGATGGAAGGCTACAACAGGTAGGCTACAACGCCTCCTCAATGAATATGATCATGTGACTGGCCACATGAAAAGCAAACTATCAGGTTTTATAAAAAAGCAATAATGCAAACGTCCCTTTACATGCTATATGCCACCATGAGGAACGATTTTTAAATAAGCCTACAACATATATCAATAGTAGCAAAATTTGAGTAGTCAATATCAATAAAAGTGAAATTTCACTATTGTAAAACAACAGCAGAATCTATGCTACTGCATACACTCCATTATGTGAGCCCCACTGAATTAATAATTAAGAATTCATGCACAATTCATTAATTAGTTCCTTTGTTTAGTTAAATCATGGCCACATTATACTAATTTGTTTCCCCAATTTATTATTTTGTTTCCTTCCTTAGTTAAATATAAAAACATATTACATAAAGAACAAAGAAATAAAGATTAGTATTGTTGTGTGATTGATGTTAATGAGCAGCAGGTCTGTTAGGCTGCATTTACTCTTAGCCCTACTGATAATAAAACTTAAAACTTATAAAGGCTGGTCCCACACACAGGGTAGATCACATTTCTGAAGTGATCAATAATCACATATAGCTGGCCTGTTAGGTCAGGTCTGATCCGGAGTGGATCAGGATCAGGGCTATGAGAGGTCGTAGGTTGATTAGACAGGTTAATTAGTTAACGCTGCCCTGGGCCTCTAATCATTTTACACTAGCTGTCTCCATCTGACAGATGGCTGGTAGACATGGAGTTGTTAAATGCTACCAATCAGAGACTGTGCTGAGAGGAAAGACTGCATCCAGAACCAAATCTGAGGGAATCCTTTGTATCTTAACTTCAAGGATGTCATATCACACTATGGCTGAGCATATAGTTTGATATTTAGCAACAGATTACATCCTATTGACAGTTTGATCCTGGTGATAGATGCTTCTTGTCATTCAGATGCTTATTGTCATTCAAGGTCTTTGCACACTGTCTTCTACAAATATCTCTTAAAACTCAATACAGCTATAGAAGTTTCCAGCAGACTGAAAAGGCAGTCTGCTGGATGAATGAATCTTTTAATGAATGAATAGAGATAGCCAAATGAGATTAATATAAAATGTATTTGCATATTTAAATACATTTCTACTATTAATCTACTCTATAAAGTGTAAACTGAGGATGAGTGATCTGACAGACACATTGATTTGTCAATACAGCACACACATTGTTTAAATAATGCAAAGTGTGTTTGCTCCCGAGGCTTGGGGTGGATTGTTCAGTATTCCAGACACGACTCCAATTAGTATTGATGATGATTCCAGAGCTCTTAGTAGTGTTGCAAGAGGCACACATTCAGCAGAATGTTCTGCTCTTTGCCATACAATGTCAGCCATCTGCTGGAGTGCCCTTGCCAGTCATCAGAGGGCACTCTTCTGGACTGTTGTTTGTGTTGTTCCGGACTTCAGTTCCCATCACCACTTGCACTTATTAGTTGTCATTGTTCCCAGCTGTGTGTCATTTAGTCTTATTATTTCCCCTATATATACCATGTTCTGTTAGCCCTTGTTTGCTTCAGTATTTTTTTCTGTTACGCTGTTCGTGGTAGTGGTGGGCAGAGCGAGGCTTCGTGAAACACTGAAACAGTCGAAGCAAATGTGCCGAGGCTTCGAAACAATTCGAAACCCGCCTCTACGGTGACACCTAGTGGTCATTTTCAAGTATTGCTCTGAAACCGTATTGACAACAAATCAGTTAAGCGAATTGACGAATTATAACGTATATGTTGTGTTTGTCAATCCACCAAGTGAGTTGGGGGAGTGGTTAGTGTGCTTGACTGGCATGTTAGAGCCTGTCACCTTAGGTTTAAATCCTGGGTGAAGCATGCATGAAATTATAATAAGCATTTAAAAGTCGTGTTTTTATTGTTCTGTTGTAACAATACTCTGACAACTGAATGAACTATTTGTGAATAAATATTTTGGTCATGAAAAATGAACATTAATAAAAGACATCAAGCCACAACGTCTGACATTTTTTACATATAAAGCTTTTTATTTAAAAATATTAATTGTTCTGCGTCTTACATTTTTTACATATAAAGCTTTTTATTTAAAAATATTAATTGTTCTGCTGCGTTAACTCCACTTTTATACTTTGTGAGAGTTAGGGTGAGACAGATGTGCGATTGTGTGGTTTGTTCCCGACCCTGTCAATCAAATGCAGATTCGGCAGGTATGCTCGTCTCTAAACACTTGTGAAACGTAGTCACGTGACATGAGTGTTTCGAATCACGCTTCGGAACAGTGTTTCAAAACATCTGCGCTTCGGGATCTCGAAACCGTGTTGAAATGTCAGTTTCACGTCAGACATCTCTAGTTTTGTCAGGACCACTTTCGTCAAAGATGATTGGCAATTAGCATACAGTTTGGATTGGCGGTATGGTTCTGTTCTGGGCAAAAACTCCCTGCGCAGCATGCAGCCTAGCATGGATAAGAGCAGGGAGAGCAGCGATAACCCCCCTAGGGTAAACAGAACAGAACGACTAACGTGACCTGCCAGAACTAACGCTACGCTAGATTTCTGTCAGGACCACTATTGACAAAGATGATTGACAATTAGCATACAGTTTGGATTGGCGGTATGGTTCTGTTCTGGGCAAGAACTCCCTGCGCATCCATGCAGCCTAGCATGGATGAGAGCAGGGAGAGCAGCGATAACCCCCCAAAACAAAACCATATGCTGATATCCCCCAACACAAACTGATAGCAAAATCTCAAAGCCTTAAGCAACAAGCATGTTGCCCTTAACCAATGACCAATCAAATATGTTGCCAAAACCCACATAACCTGTAGCAACAATTCTGTTGCCTTTAACAGATGACCTAATTAATATGTTGCCAATACCTTAAAAGCTTAAGCAACATGTTCTTAATAACACCAGATAGACTTAAGAAAAACATGTTCCAATTCAACTACAGCTTTCAGAACAAGCATGTTCCGAATAACGACCGGATTGCTCTGGAACAAGCATGTTCCCAACAATACAGCTATAACTTAAAAACAAGCATATTCCTAATACAACTACAGCTTTTAGGACAATAACAACCAAATAGCTCTGGGACAAGCATGTTCCCAACAAAACAGCTATAACTTAAGAACAAGCATGTTCCCAATAACGACCAGGTGTCGAATCCAAAATTAGCTTCAATTCCTGCCTCCTGAGATACCTGCGAGATACATGCTTCTGAGGCAGCTTAATGGTTCAATGATCTACAACAAATAGAACGAGCTTGGTGATAACTAGGCAAATATTCAATTATTTATTTGATCAACCATCACAGGATAGAAAACACAGGATTGTGGGTATCAAGGCAGCAAAGGATACATCTATTCTGCCTTTTAATATCGCCCAGATGAGATCTGGGCGATATTAAAAAAAAAAAACAGTCTGATGAATGCAAAATGGAGAAGAAATTAACATGGTCTCCTTTCTTATTAACAACTAATGATTATGAGAGGAAAGCTTGCAAACCTATAAATTCTATCAGACTTCAGGATCACTTTCAATGAATTTCCAAGTCCGTCTGTGGTTAATGTAAAAATATTGATGAAACTAAATTATTGAGGGATGTCAAAACAATGCCCTGACAGGGTCATATATAACTGCTGTAATAAAGGAGATGATAGTCAGTAGAGGACACGTGTGAGGTGGTGGTTCCTTTATGAGGCGTCAGGTTGTTGATGGGAAATATTATAACACGTCTTCAGTTATCAGACTGCTGTAATATATTAAGAGATAGATCAGCTATGTGGATCAGATCAAGGTCCTGTGAGGCCCCTAAGTGCACATCTTCCATTAAAGTGAGTACTTTGAGTTCTCCATCTTCCATTAAAGGGATAGTTCAGCCAAAAAAAAAAAAAAAAAATGCTGTTAATTTACTCACCCTCAGGCCATCCAAGATGTAAGGGAGTGCGGGGCACAACCTAACACTTTGTGACATTCTCAGTTAGTGTAAATCCACGTAGGGTTCAGAGTATAATTTTTTATCTGCATTAATTTCACTCTTGTCTAGTGCAAATATGTCGCTTTGTTTCATAATTAAAGTGTATACGTTTTTCTTTATTTACCTCAAAATAATGGAAGTGAAATGTGACAACGTGCCCCGTAGGTGGGGTACATTGTATCATGTGAGAGGCACGTTGTAACATGGCCATATGACAGCTTAAAATGTCTGATCTAATGGAAAAAAATATACAAGACAAACTAAAATATTTTGTCAATAAGATAAAATTATTAACAAAATAATTTTTTTTTTTTAAGAATTAAAAAAATGTGTTGACAACGAACACATTGCAAACATGCTTGAAACGGCCCTGGTCGCAAAACACATCTATACAGTATAGTCTAATTCAAAACAATGTGGGCAAATATATGAAGAAACACATTCAGACATTCAGAAAAACACAGACATACACTCACCTCCCTCCACACACAGCTCTCATAGAAATGTCTTGAAATAATAATTTCTGAACATTAAGTATAGATTTTCAGTCTTTATTCACCTGTTTCTTGTGGTTTTTCATTAAAACTCATAAAAGTAAATAGTGTAAATTATATTGCTAATTTTATATAATAGCATAGTTTAATAATAGCGGGGCACATTGTAACGCAGTGTTACAACGTTCTCCATCTGCACAACTGGAATTTTAAATATGGTTGGTGTCTTCTGCTAGTTAGCAAAGCATTAAACTAAACTCGTTAAATAACAGATTGGAGATTAAAATAATAGCATATTTGTCTCATTTTAAATTAATACTAAAAAGTTGAAGAATTAACTTCAGCCAGAAATTTACTTTTACTATGGTAAAATAAATATTCAGTGATATCTTCAAAAGATTTTTGAATTTTGGCGCACTTTTTTCTCTATAGTGTTGATATGGCAACTAGTTAATGCCATAAATTTGGTTATGCTAGCATGTGTGAAAATATTTAAACCACGCTTGTTACAACTAACCCCCATGTTAGTTTGTGCCCTGCACTCCCCTAGGTGATTTTCTTCAGTAGAACAGTAAAGAAGATTTTTAGCTGTATCAGTGGTCTTTGGTAATTCATCTAATGCAAGTCAGTGGATTTTTGAGAAAAAACAAAAGGAAATCAAAATTGTTACCCATGGCTCCTGACGATATACTGAGGTATTATAAAGCAAAACGATCGGTCTTTGCAAGAAACTAGTCTTCATCATCTCACCTTTTTACATAATGAGAAACCATATAAACGTTCATTTCTTCCCTGGGTTCATGCATGCGGATATCAGCAGCTCATCGGTCTTCAGTCCGAGTTGAACTGTTTCCTCAGTTCAGTGACTGCTGGAGGAACTGGAGCGCTGAATGAGTTCATTCATCATAGGATCAGATACGCCGCTATTTTGGCTCATTTACAGTCAGTGTGACTGTCAGGCATCTGAAAGTGAGTTTTGATTGAGTAACTTGTAAATCTGTGCTGCTCGAGCCGCGAACTGTTTCAGACTCTTCAGTCCAATTTGAAGAATTGTTTCAACTAGTTCACCAAAACGAACCGGTTCAAAAGAATGATTCATTCACAAACCAGGACTGTTTGTCTAAGGCTCTGGATTACAGGTAATAATGTTATAAATAACGTTCAGTTTCTTGCACAGACCAATCGTTTAGCTTCATAAGACTCAATATATCGTCAAGAGCCATGGGCATTAATTTTGTTTTCCTTGATATGATTTTTCTCACCCTCAAAGTCAATGACATTTTATGAATCATCAAGGAACACGGTTTCAGCTAAAAAATTTATTTACTGTTCTACTGAAGAAAGAGTCACCTGCACCTTGCATGGCCTGAGGGTGAGTAAATTAACAGCAAATTTTCATGTCTTGGGTGAACTATGCCTTTAAGCAGTTTGGCTCAGCTGATTTTGTAGACCTGAGTGCAAGCAATCATTCACACTGTATAGTACGGGGCCAAGAGCCCTGGTGTTCAGCTTGCTTAAAGAAAGATGCCCAACCCAGGCTTATTCAAAATACGTGCCTCTAAATACATTTCTGCAGCACCGTTATTACGTACCTTACTGCACGTTTCGCGGCAGTTTCAAAGCGAAACGTCCAATGAGTGGCGCTAAAACGTGGGTTCAATATGTGACCCTGGCACGTATTTGTTACGTTGAAATAGGCATGTATTGCTGTGTTTGTGTTACTTTGCTTCAGGTACGTATTGGTTCATAATTCAAATATCCGAGGAGTGTCGCTAAAAGTAAATGCTCTATCGCAGGGGTGGTGAATGTCGGTCCTGGAGAGCCGCAGCCCTGCAGAGTTTTGCTTCAACCCTAATCAAACACACCTGAACAAGATAATCAAGGTCTGAAGGGTTACTAGAAAGCTACAGGCAGGTGAGTTTTAATTAGGGTTGGAGCTGAACTCTGCAGGGCTGCGGCTCTCCAGGACTGGAGTTCGCCACCCCTGCTCTATCATGTTGAAAATATCCCCAACCCCAAACCTACTTGATAGTGTTAACAAATGCAAAAATGATATAAAAACGCATTTGTGGCTGCAGCCATGATATTTTAACTTCCTTATGCGGATCTGAGCTGTTTTGCTGAACCGTAGTTTCACGGGGTTCGTACCGGAGCTCTTCATCACCCAAGTGCAATGCTGTGTCGTGTGAGTTACCGAGCAAACCTACTGAACTGGAAAACTCATGCATATGAAGCTGGATATGTGACTCTAACCTTCAAATGCATCTGTTTTCAAATCTCGCAGCATGTTAAAAATGGTTTAGAATTCATAACGTCTCGAGGTTACGTATGTAACCATGGTTCCACGAAGGGAACGAGATGCTGCGTCAAACGCTTTGGGAACGCCCCCGGCGAGACACCGTACTGAAGCGTAGGTAAGCAGTCCAACAGAGAACCAAGGCGTCATGAGTGGGGTGACATGAGCAACCAGGAAGCATAAAGGCGCATCTGGCAAGCGCACATGTTACCTTCTGCGGAAGCGAGCGCCTGCAGGAAGTATGGCAGGGAGATGCAGCGTCTCGTTCCCTTCAGGGAACCATGGTTACATACGTAACCTTGAGACGTTCCCTTTCAGGAACTCGAGCTGCGTCAAACGCTTTGGGAATGAGAATGCCCACTGCTTCATACGAGCAAGTCCCTGTCGGATGTGTGTCTGCGAGCAGATCAAGACGAGAGAACTTGGGACCCCGGGGTTGATGTCAGGTCCAGACTGTAAAACCGGACAAATGTGTGCGGAGAGGACCAGCCCGCCGCAACACAAATATCTTGGAGGGCCACGCCAACTGATAAGGCCTTGGAGGCCGCCATACTCCGGGTCGACTGCGCTCTGACCCCCATCGGTGACGGGAGGCCAGTGTGATGGTCTCAACCACCCACCGATTCATGGTTTGCTTGGTCGCTAGAACCCCTTTCTTAGGTGGACCGAAGCAAACAAATAACTGATC